GTTTTGAGCCAATTTTCACGACCACAGGTATTTTTTCCAATATGGGAATATTCCAATATATGAACAATATACGTCATTGATTGAAACATAAATGAGACCTTTGAATCAGAAGTGTGCTTATCAACAGTTTTTTTTTACTTGAGCTATATGTACATTGCACCCGTCATCAATAGTGAAAATGTTATGTAAACCATGAGATTCAAACTCACAGTCAGATCACTTATCCAGATTTTTGTCGCTGGAGCGCGTTTCACCTTCTTGTGCGTGGAAGCGTTGACTCGTTCATTGCCAGCTTTCATAAACATTTGCTCCATCTGAATATTTTCTTAATTAGCTAAGTTACAAAAGTTGCTTGATAAGATACCAGTTCAAAGGTGTTCTCCTTCTCCCAACCCAACAAAATATCGATATCGTGTGGATCTCTGGTAAATCTATTTCGCTTAAACAACTGTCTCCTCTTCTTTATCTAAAAATCAAATTAAAGTCCTAATTATTTCTAGCGTCTCATTCCGCAAAGACTCACTTTAGGCTCAGCTGATTCATTCACGATCTCTTGCGTTTTCCTTCGAGTACTGTATCGCTTTGAGGGTTTTTCCACATCCAATGGTTTCGGAGACGGACTATCGTTCTTACGAATGTTTGTTGTATTACCAAGCGCCTAAATTGATTCTTGCATAGAATAACATTCGAAGGTTAATAATCCTTTATACTGCTCAAATCTGCATAGGAAAAGAGTAAGCTGGAAAATTGTGAAACCCACATTTCGAATTTTTGTAGCAGCTGCACCATCGCCTTTCGGAACAGTTTTCGGAGCGACTACCGACGCCTGCAAAAACACTAGAAAGCTCGAATTTTTAGAAGGTTCTAGTTTGCGATATGTATAGTACGCTCATAACCCGACTTGTGAGCTTATTCTCCATGTTTTTATGTTACATTTTTGATGTTTGTGCAAATTGAATGCCTTTATAAGTAATTTTTTTATCGCACAAACCAAAAAGGAGGATAAGATCAGATACGTTAATTCCACTATCGCAGCTACTTGTATTGTATTAGTTTTCGGTTCGTGCCCTATTTCAAGCCCAAAATTTTCTAAAATCCCGAAATTTTTGGCTAAACATTATATACCATAAAAAGGAGGAGTGTTTCTACGATAGGGCCTTCTACTTCTTAGATTGTGATGGTTGAAATCACGGATAATTGAATACACAATAGTAAGGGCAAAATCACTGATCAACTAGAAAAGGGAAAATC